AGAGAGAGAGAGAGAGAGAGAGAGAGAGAGAGAGAGAGAGAGAGAGAGCTTATAAACACATTACAAGATATACAGTCTATCAGTGACTACTTTTAAAAAATTTGTTCCATGAAATAAAGCAGAGAGAGAGCTTATAAACACATTACAAGATATGCAGTCTATCAGTGACTACTTTTAAAAATTTTGTGCCATGAAATAGAGCAGTTAGATACAACTTCTAAAGCTGGTGAAGATAGAATGAGAATAATTATATGCAATGATTTAATACTAGAGTATTTATCACGGCAATATAAGGTTGGCTAGTTTAACCTTCTCTAAATGAATTAGAGAATATTCTAGCAAACTAAGAAGCTCTCTCAAAACAAATTACAGGAGTTTCCTCAAAAAAATTTATGAGGAAACATTCTTCAGTGGTAAAAAAAGAAACTAAGGAAATAAGCACAATAGCAATAAATATAAAGAAGAAAAGTCTTGTAGGTAGTGAGAGAGCTGTAACTTAGGGGGATATCAACATGGTCATAGAAGAGATGACTGCCGTGCATGGTGAAGTGATGAATGCTTCAACTATGGAAAGAAGGGTCCCTTCACTCAAGATTGCTAGTTTAAGAAAAATAAAGCATAATAAAATATGGTGACATCAAAAGGCCACCGAGATGCGGATGATAGTAAAGAGAAATGGAATGCCCAAGCATCATTTGCTACAACCAAGCTTGTTGACTTGACACAAGGAGGGGAGTATCTCGACATGGGAGACATCTTGATCGAGCCAGATGAGAGGGAACTTGTAGCCTTAAATTTGCAAGTCATGAACTACAATATGATTGGACCATAAAATTAGACTGCTCCAACCACATGACAGGTGAAAAGAAGAAACTGTAGACAATGTCTAAGTATAAAGAAGGAAGAGTTGCTCTAACCGATAACAACTCTAACAAATTACCAATTTCTCACATCAGTAACAAAGTAATTGTGTGCCGCTTTAGTCCTAATCAATTGCGGTTGCAAAATATCAACAACATTCTTAGAATGAAGAAGAACCTATTATCAGTATCTCAACTGACAAGCTCTGGCAACTAAGTAGTCTCTGGTCCTAAAGATGTAAAGATGTATCGTAGTTTGAAGCACTATGGTACTCAAACATGGAAAGTTAAAGACTAGAATCCATCTATGTAATGTCAACAGAAGAGACATACATGGAGAAGATATGAAAGAATGAGGCTATAGACCTGTGGCACGCAATACTAGAACATGTTGTAGGGTCAAAAAATTAAAGTTGATTGATTCTTATTATAAGAATGGGTTCTATCGCTTGGTAAGAACCTTTTACAATCACTCACTCTCTCGATTACAGAGAAAGAGAAGATAGATTTGACTTCTCTTTTGTTTGAGGTGGGTTCTAGATGGCGAAAGGATACTTCACTCGATGCTTGAGTCGAGATTGCTTCCCGTTGACGATTAGAAACAAACCGCAAGAGCTTCTGACAATGGCTTAAGCTGTAGGGACCGAGGTTCGGGTCTTAAGCTTGTGCGTGAGAGCTTTTCTTAGGATCTCCAATGATGCCCCCTTCATAGCTTCTTGCGGCGCACATAACTGACGTGCTACAATCGTGGGGTCGTGGGCGTAACCGACTCCTGAGATTTAGCTCACGTGGCTGACTAGGTCTTCATGGTCGTTACAACCTTATTTAATGTGGGTGATGAGCTTCACTGCATTGACGAACCTCATCCTTGATGTTGAGCCTCGTTGCGTGATGAGCCTCATCTTTTATGTCGAGCCTCGTTGTGTGGCGAGCCTCGTCTTTGATGTCAAGCCTTGTCTTGATGTCGAGCCTCATTACATGGCGAGCCTCGTTGTGTGGCATGCTTTATCTTTAAAAATGAACTTCGATTCTTTTGAGAGAACTTATAGATGATGTTCGTCTTTCTTTTGGCAAGTTTTGGATGTCGACAAGACCCCCTTCAAAGTTTTCAGACTTGAATTGGGTTGTATGAGGTCTGAAATACTTTGAACTCTCTCGATTATCATGAGCTTGGTTTATAGGATGATCTTAGCCTCAACACTTTGAAATGAACCTTGTGGTTCATTGTTTCTGGGCATTTTGAGACGAGGCTCAGCAGTTTGTTAAATCTCGTCACTTCATACGAGCTTCGTCAAGCCTACGTAGGCCTAACAATCAGGCTTGTCTACATTAAATGTGATGACTTCCATCCTCGCACCTTTTCCAAGCCTGATAAACGGCTGCCAGCTGGAACTTTGAGATCTCCTTCACAGATCTCGTTCGCAATTCTCGTCTGTTAGAGATCGTGTTCGCCGATTATGACCGTGAATCTCGATCATTGATTCAATCTTTTCCCACTTCTATATATAGGGCATGGTGATCTGAAGAGTCTTTCCTTCCCCTTCAAATTTCTCGTGCCGTCAAAACTTTCATCCTCTAAGTTTTCAAATTTCATTCTTGAAAACTTCAAGCTTTACATTGAGATCAATGGCCCCTAAAACTGTTGTTAGCAAGGGCAAAAAAGTTGCTGGTTCTTCTGACGAACCCACCGCTCTGCCTACTTTTTCAGGTAGTGCATCTGAACACGAGATTTTGTGTTTCAAATCAATTGAACTCTACCCATTTTTGGTTTGAGTTTAATAAGGGAGATGAACAATTTCTCTTTCTGAAAACTCATCTGAAAGATGATGTTTTAGACGAATTTTTATCTCTTTGATGAATCTCATCTTTCTGACAAGGATTGTTTGTTTGACGAGGTTCGTCTGTTGAACGAGGCTCGTCTATTTAACGAGTTTTGTCTGTTTGACGATGTTCATCTGTTTGGATGAGGCTTGTCTGTCTGACGAGTTTCGTCTGTTTGAGGAGGTTCGTCTATCAGACAATGTTCGTCTATCAGACGAGGTTTGCCAATCGAATGAGGTTCGTCTATTTGAACAAGGCTCGCATGTAGGATGATGTTCGTTTTTTGACGAGGTTTGTCTGCTTAACTAGGTTCGTCAATCAGACAAAGTTCATCTATGAAATGACCTTCATGTCATCATTTGGGCGTAGCTCAATCCCTTTTGGATTATTTTCATATCGACTGAATCTTTTTGAATTAATTCTATTCGTTTGTTTTGCAGTCGTGTACCCTTCTATTCTAATTCCTCCACGTGGTGATCTTGGTTCAGATGGCACTCAGGTAATGGAATATCATCCA